TGGGACCTGGTCCACGTGACTTGCGCCAGAGACGCCTTATCAAGAGCCTGGGCCCATACCCAAGGCTTGACAGCGCGTGACTGCTGCTTGGCCACCGCACTGCAGTCGGAGGTGCAATCAGCCCGCTCCTCCAAGTGCGAGGCGAGCCTTGCGACCGCAAAGCATTCCCCTTCGCACACTGAACTCCCTGGGGGGAGGAGGCCAGTGAGTTGGCCTACCTGGAGAGGGGCACCCTCCGTCCAGGTGAACGCGCAGATGGCCCAGGCCACTATTCTGCCCCTGGCGTCGGCAGCGTAGGGCCCGCCAGAGGCGTCCGTCGAATAGAAAAGCCCCTGTGGCCACTTGGCCTCTTTGCAAACACCATCGGCCCGTTCCGACTGTGGGCCCCAGCAGTACCCCTGAAGCTGGGTGGCCTGAGCCGGCATCAGGCCCCGCTCCCATAGGCAGTCGAATGGGAACTGGGTAGTAAGGCGCTCCCAATGTTTGGGAGGAGGGGGTGCCTTGCCGCGCCACCATCTGCAGTCGGTGGCGACGTGGTGCTGGGTGAGGGGCACCTTGCACAGGGGGCATTGCTGGCCCGCTTGGACATGCCGGTTTTTAAGGGCTCCCTGCCAGGCCATTCTCAGGGCGGCAGACTTAATCCGCGGAGCCTTTTTCACAAGGGCAGTGGGAACCGTAATGTCCACACCTGAGGACAAACTGCTGCAACCCGTTTGGGTACTGATGGCCTTCCGCCGGGCCTTGTGGCAGGCGCTGGTCAGACACGAGAGGATGGCGGACCAATGCCTCCGAAGGAGGGGGTTGAGGGCCACCACCCCAGAGTCTTCAGGGACCCCTGCCAGGGTAGCAGGACAAAGGTCTGCAGGGAAAAGCCAACGGTCCGGGGTGGGAGCCACAAGCCCGAGATCCAGCAGATAGGCTATCATGGCCCCCAGCGGTCCACAGACCACTCGCCATCTGTCTTTCCGTTGGAGCTGGGTAGTGAGCTGCGCCCACGTTCGGTCCAGCTGCTCGCGGTCAGGGAGGCGGACCATCACCCGACAGAGAGCCTTAAAGTGTTGGGTGACCACTGCCACCCGGGGGTCCTTGACCAGCCAGGCACCAAGTTCCAGCGCGATTTCAACACTGCCCGTGCCAACCTTGCCGGTGATGGCGGCAGCTTGAAAGCGCACCGATTTCATGGTTTTGGGGCTCACCCCGTGGGCCTGGTGCCCCCAGATCCCCGATGCCAGCACGGACATGGAAAACACCCGGCTGCTGGCCTTGATGTTGCGGACCTTAAGGCTGCGAAGCTTGCCCAGTCTGGCATTGGCTTTGGTCCGCCGCGCCGTGGAGAGGCGAGTACACCGTCTCCTGCCAGCTGATAGCGTCATTCCCAGGTCTTTGGCAACACTCTGGATGGGGGGGTCACCCTCTCCCAACTTTCGCCTCAGGGCGCGCTCAGCTTGGGAACTGCTCGCCAGGAAATAGGTCTTGCCGATAGAGACCTGGTACCCGGCGGCAGAAAGCGAGGCATGCAGCCGTCTGAAGACCCTAATGACTGAGTTCGCTGCTTGGTCCGGGCTGTGATGTTCAGTATCTACCGTGATGTCGTCTATCCACGTATCTACGTGGTTGACATGCGGTCCAGAGCAACACTGCCGAATCGGCTCGCCCACAGCGAGTTTACTCAGAGTAGGGGCTAAAGGGCAGCCCGCTATAATTCCGCGGCGAGCGAAAGCAACGGGCGACGCGACTTCGTCGGAAAGGATCACTCTGCCGCCACGATACGATTCCATAGCGAGGAAAAGCAAAAGATCCGGGAATCCGGCAGTGAGCGCGGCGTCACAGAGAGTGGAGTGAACCACGGTCTCATAAAAGGTACTCAAGTCGACAAACAAAGAGCACCGATGGAGACCGTCGACGCGCGCGGCCTCGTAGCAGACGCCTCTCCGGAGCGAGGCGTCATAGGTGGAGCGCTCCGGCAAAGCGCAGTCCCACCAAAGCTCAGCGCGGTAGTCGCGAAGCCACGCTTCAACGAGGTGCCACCTGGCCTTCATTCCGAGCTTCAGGAGCGAAGACATCAAACCAATCGGTCTTTCGATTTTCTCGTTTTTAGCGAGCATTGTGAAGATGGTGAAGGTCATCTGCTGTGGCACCTCTCCCGTGGTTTCGATTTCCCTCCAAAACGAAGCCAGGGAGGAAACCTCACCCGGTGTCAGGGCTTTGAGCAGCTCAAGGGACCAGCCGTCCACACCCGCCGCTTTTAAAGGCAGGCGGCGAATGAGCCGCTGGAACTCTTCCCCAGTGACGGCCGGGAGTCTCTGGGCTTGAGCAATTGCCCGTTCTTTGAGGCCCTGGATGGGAGGAGGAGGCTGGCCCTTCGACTCCCACAGGCGAGCCCACTGCTGCAGTCGGAGGTAGGGCCGGGCTTCAGCCGGTTCGTCCACGAATGGGCGGGCAACCTCAACCTCCTGCTTTTTGACCGTACGGAAGAGCGGCCGGAGGCCTTTCACAGAGGCCCCAGTAAGCCACTCCTGATAGTCCCGTGTCTCGCGCGACCTGGACTCTTCGATGGCGGCCTGGCTCATGCTCCTGACAACAGCGCGGATCCCATCCCGGGAGTCACCTTTGGTTTCCCCGTTGCAGAGCACCTCTTCCGGACTGAGGCCTGAAAGGCCTGCACTCTCGAGTTTGGCCTGCAACACCTCCGCGCACGACGAAGGAAAGCACCGCCGAAGGGCCTCGAAGCGGGCTCTACTGGTGCCTGGGTTGTCCCAGGCAAGCTGCAGTTTTTGCCACCAGGCAGCCTCCTTGCCGTACCACGGATAGCCCTCCTTCGGCTGCATGAGGGGTTTGTACACGAAGGGCCGGGTGCACCCACGCCCGCCGGGTTTGGTGAAGTGTTCCACCGCGAACCGGTGGGTGAGTTCGGCAAATTGGCGATTGGCCTGAGTGCCCTGGATCACCTCAGACCCGAAAGCACCAAGCAAAGGGCCGCCACCGGTGGTTAGCTGAGACAAGGTCGAATCCTGGGTGAGGCTGTCGGTCCGACCAGTGGCCCCGGATTGGGGATCAGTGCTGGCTGTTTTGAGCACCCCAGGAAACGCTGGGAGTTGCCTCAAGGCGACTTGGCCCCCGGGGGTATTAAAACAGCACTCCAGTGCAGCGTGAGGCCGGAAGGGCACTTGCCAACTGGCAGCACAGGTAAACAGGGAAGCGACACTGGTGGAGACCAGGGCGAAATCAAGGCAGTTACCTGTAGTTATCGTCGCCTCCGGTGGGGCGACGATCCGCCCACGAAAGGCCTCTGGCAGGGTGGTCTCAGCCAGCTCCTGCGATGGGAAATTCCAGTCCCCGACCACTATCCAGTTGGAATTTTGGCGCAGGAGGGGCTTCAGTCGGGCGAGGACTTCCGGGTTGGGCGCCCCAGTGATGCCAACACCTGATTTGAGGTACAGGTTGACCAGAAGGATAGAATGGCGAACCCTGGGGAGTTCGACCAGCAAAAAGCCGATCCCTTCGTCAGAGAGGTACCCTCCTCTGAAACGACCCTGTTGATGGATGGGCACAAGTGTGGCCAGTCCCCCTTTGGTGGGTCTGGGGCCCTCGACAGGGGGGAGGAAAGTATGGTACCCTCTTGCCAAAGCCTCTATGCGCAGTTTTTTGGCACCGTCATCTCCCAGGTGCAGCTCCTGGATGAGAAGGGGCCCTTTTTGCGGCTGGTGCCATTTGAGAATGTCCGGAGTCCACGTTGTGATGTTGGCACTGACAAACACAACAGACTCCTGACATCCCTGGTGCCCCTGAGCCGCGAGGTCGTCCAGGAAAGCCGCGGCGGTGAGGGGGTCCAGCCACGAGTGGCCTTGCATGGCCTCGAGGATCTCATAGGAGACCCGGTAACCCAAGCTGGCCTCATCAGCTCCTTCCAGGGCCTCAGCAAGGGCTAGAGCCTGAGGTTCGGACTTGCTCCAGTCATTGTGCGCCCGAAGCTCTTCTGCGAGCCCTGCAGCAAGGGCCTGAACTGGATTTGCCTTAGGCTCAAGGTCAGGGAGGGGCTTGCCCGCTTTCCCCCGAGTGCTAGGCCTTCGCTTCCTGAGTCTCGGGGGGGACTGACCGAGGGAGGTAAGGGGCCGCCGCCCTGCGTCACCAGGGGAAGGAGGCGATGAGGAGCCCTGTTCCTGCGGTCTGGCGCTGGACGGCTCAGGACCGGGAGGCCAGGATTGCCAGAAAAGAGAATTGGCCAGTTGCTGCCTCCTAGCCCGGTGAGCCGCACGATGTTTTCGAGTGGACTCCCAGAGGAAGTCCTGTTGCACTTTACGCCGCCCCCGTGGGCCGTGGGCAATGCTACGGACCCCGCGAGACGGGCTGATGCCTAGGGCCTTGGCCAGGCACAGCACAGGCCTGACGGGTGGGGTGAACCCCGAACCCATAGGTTCCCCTTTGCCCCTTGGCAGCGCCTCCAAGGCACCACTTGGGGCAGGGAGCTCCTGCTCAGGGTCCAAGGCCCATCCGGTTGGAAAAAATTTTGGCCCAGAGAGCCTGGAGAAATCCTGGGCGCTCTGGTTGTCCGAACACGTTGGCGTGAGGACACCCTGCGACACCAGGGTTGAAGAAAAGGGGGTGGAAAGCTCACTGCCCCTAATCGAAAGGCCGTGCCCAGGCCTCAGGGAAAGAGGCTGGTAGGGCACCTTAGCACCTCGGGCCGGCGCTGGCTCCCAACGCAGCGCCGCCGGGGTTTTGTGAAAGACTTTGCATCGCGCAAAACAGGTGAGTGCTGCCTAAATCGTGCAGATCACACTTGCAAAACTTGCAAAAAACTCTACTCTTGTGTGAACCCTGGCCACGGTGGGGTGGCGAACCACTCCCCCTCGGTAAAAGAGCAAGTTGGTTGCTAGAAAAGGCCTGCAAAACCTCCATTGACGGTTGGAGAAGGGCCTGATTGGGCGGCTGCCCTTGCAAAATCTGCCTGGGGGCCCGTGGCCCAGAAAGGGCCAGGGGGAAGGCAGGGTTCCCCTGGCCTAGGCGCCCCTATTCGGGGTTGTCGCTGCCTCCGGCTTCGTCCCTTCCAAAGGTGTGGGGCGCTTCCCATGCGGATCGGTGCGGGCAGGCCCATACATGGGGGGCATCTCTCGAGGGAAGTACTCATCATGCCCTCGGAAACCCACGATGAAGGGGTCCGGGGGGAGGTCCTCCTTCCCGACCAAGGCAGCCTTCATTTTGGCGCGGGTGGCTTCATTGAGCTCATGACCAGCCTCCGAAAGGACCGCCTCCAAGGCGCTGAAGGCGGTGCTGGTGGAGTCCGCCGTCATCTCTTTGAAAGCCTTGGCCGTCTCCTGGATCTCGACATCCTTGGCTTTGATGTCCTTGTCGACCTGGTCCACGTCCCCAATGAGCTTTTCCAGCTCCTGCTTGAGCTTGTCCGCTCGGGCCTGGAGCTTGGCCTTCTTCTCCACCAGATTCTTCATCTGGTTGGTGGCCTTCTTGAAGTCACTGACACACCTGGTCAGCTTCTCCTGGGGCGTGGGCTCCGGCCGGTCGAGGTCCTCATCTGGTGGAGGGGGGATCCCCGCGGCCTCCAAAAGGGTCTGGACGTGGAGCCCTGCCCCCGCGTAGACCACGGCCCTGGCAGCGTTGTACTCCTTCTCGGTCATCCTACCCTTAAGGAGGGACTGGAGGTCCAGTCCTGGTGGGGGTGGCGGTGGCCCTTTCGGCCGAGGTGGGCTGTACCCGACCTCCTGAAAGGCTTTCTGGGCAGCCTCTGGCAGGTCTTTCCAAAGACCCGCAAGCACCGCGCCGACTTTGCCACCTGGTAGGTTCTTAGAACCCTTTCCCTCTCCTTTTCCCTTGCCTTTGGTGCGACCGTCCTCCCAGACAGCTCGGGGGCTCTGGGAGTTCTCGGCCCGGGCTTCCTTGTTTGCTTGCTGCTTTGCCAGCTGCTTCTGCCAGTTTCTGCCGCAGTACGCACAGTGGGTGTTTTCACCCGACTCGACCTGGCGTTTCCAGGCCCAGTGGTACCCACAGGCGCACGGGATCCACTTGGGAGTGCGCGGCATGGCTGCAAGCTGGTGTGGAAACCACTACCAGAAGTAGTGGCTGCAGGAAACAAGCAAGGAGTGGTGCCCACTTCCAAGCTTTAGAAGTGCACACGGCAAGAGGAGGATCGACCTCACTCAGATCGTGCAGTGAACAGCCTACCGGGCCGCCCACCAAACCCTTGCCTGCTGTCAGGCCTACGACCTTTACCAGGTTGGGTTTGGGGCCTCTTTGGAACCTCTAGAAAAGTAGGTCCCAAGGCTGGCCACGACGGCACTGCAACGTCTGAGCCGAAAACTTGAGCCAAAATGGCTACGGAAAATGGGATTTTCACACCCCCTCTTGGACTGATGCGGCACCTAGTGTCTTTTGAGCACACTTTACAAGCTCTAGACCTAGCTTTTCAGGATAGAACCCTGAATCTTTTAATTCCACCTGTACATGTTCATGCACTTGGTCACATTCCCGTTTAGGAAACACTTTGACCCAGCGTTTACTGTTCGTGGCAAAGTACCACCGTTTAAACACACAGTCGTACGCACAGCGGTCTACCACAATACCCTCAGACAGCCCCAATTCTGAAGCAACCTGAAGATACCGCGGGTCCTTCCAGAGGTCGTTCTGCAGAGGCCACTCTTGAGTCAACAACAAGCGTTCACTCCGAGCAACCGGTTTCAACAAACCTTCAAGAAGTTCCCAAGCACGCTGATGCAACTTCTTCTTCTCTTCCCACTTCTCTTGACTGTACTTGCGCCACCCGCGGTAACGCAAACGACACCCAGTGGTACAGGGAGTAGAGATATGGCAGTAGATCTTCGTCTTCAAGCCACAACTCAACACAGAAAACAACTCCTTCAGAAAACACTGCGTCTGCTCAGAACAAAAGTCAAGCTTTTCAGTGACACCCACATAGGGAATCTCAAGCTTCTCACATGCCTTCTGTAAGGCACTTTCTTCCTGGCAGAACAGTTCAACGACCACAAAGGTGACCTGGTTCTTCGCCACCGCTTCACACAGTGAAACGTACTCCTCAGGAACAAAAGAACGGTTTACCGGCTCTTCTGCAGTCAGGCGTTCCAGCTCAAACTCACCCAACTCGTCTTCAAAAGAAACCAAACCGGTTACCTCGTAGAGGTTGTCCAGCTGCTCCTGAAAGACCATACTCTTGGTCAGGCCGTCGGAGGCATTATATGCTCCGGCCACAAACTCGAGGATCACTCTCCCCGACTGAACCATCTGCTGCAGGAAAGCACACCGCAACTCCAGGTGACGAACCCTTCTCAAGAGTCCCTCCATTGAAGCAATCGCCTTTGCCGACTCAGAATCGGTACAAATCCGGATCCAAAAGCTTCCGGTATCATCCTCAGGCAATCCCTCCAAAAACGAATCTTTTTGCACCCTGCGGTTGGTCGCACGGTAGGTCTCAGATAGAGACAGAGCGGGAGCGCCTCTTGGAGCCGCGTCCATGTTGCGTTGACCCTTGGTCTGGAGGGCCATACGAACCACCGAGTACCCGTTGTGTTGGGCGGATCGGTGCCTTGCTCTTTGGATCGGTCGGCGGGGCTTGCAGCAAAAGCGATCTGTGGTATCCCAGAGGCGGCTGCGGTCCCAGCAAAAACGATCCTTGGTACCCCAACGGCGGGGGCGGCAACGGCGGCAGCGGCACTGCTGGCGCTGCTGGCGCTGGCAAGGCCGGCATAGCCTTCACAGGCACCATCTTCGGAGGCGCCACCGGCCTCACTGGCATCGCCTTCACTGGCACCAAAGCAGGATCCACTCCAGGGGTCTCCGGTGCCGCTGGCGCGGCTCTTTTCGAAGGCTTTGGCGGCGAGGGAGAAACTTTGGCCGGCGATCTGGACGGTTTCACTTTGGGCGGCGGTGGCCCATCCTTGGGCGGCGGTGGCCCATCCTTGGGCTGCGGTGGCCCATCCGGAATCACAATAACGGCCGGCTTCAAGGTCACAGCCGGCCTGGTCGCTGTCTTTGGCTTTGGAGCCAAACGAGGCTTTCCACGTGGATCTGAGGGCGCCGGTGTCATCGGCACCTCCTCCTCGGCAGCAGCTGGTGCCACCTTTTCCACCACAGCCTCGGCCTCGGCTTCCACAACCGCTTCGGACAGCGGCCTTCTTCTTCTTCCGCTTTTTCTTCGCAGGTACAGGAACAGCTTCTTGGGCATCGACCGTGGTTTCCGCAGTCCCCACTGCCACAAGGAGGTCCACTGCACCCTGCTCCGGCTCCTGGGCCGGCCGTCCTTCGGATCTTTCGTCCAAACGGCTTTGCACCCATTCCAGGGCACCTTCGGCAAGCGCCTTGCCCTTCGCTACAGCACGGGCGTGCTGCTTCTTTCTCACAAGCCGCTTGGCCTTCACGACCTTCTTCTCCGTCCGCACCACCTGCATCAGCTGGCGATTGTAGCCCATCGTCACTGGACCACCATCCGCTGGCTTCCGCTCGTGCTTCCGGGCCTTCTTCTTCGAGGTGGGCGCGACATACAAATGTGGATTCGGAAAAGTAGGGTCCACAGTGTCCGCCTCGGCTTCCTCGGCTGCTGCAGCCTCCTTCAAGGCCTTCGTGGCCTTCTTTGCTGCACCACGGACCTTCTTCAAGGCCTTCGTGGCTTCCTTTGTCGCACGAGATGCCCGCTTCTTCTTGCGCTTGGGCACTTTCTCGACGGATTTCTCTGCAGCATCCGGGGCCTCGGCAACGTCCGTGGCCACACCAGACTCGGGGCGCCATTTGCCCCAGCCTTCTTCCTCCTCTTCTTCCTCCAGCTTTGACGGCAGCGGCGATTTCTGCTGTGGCGATTTTGGCTGTGAAGGCACGGCCATTTTGTGCCACTCGCGAGAAATTTTGGTGAGCTCGTCGTGCTCCTCCATCATTTGCCGCTCGCTCTCTTCTCGAGCCGTGCTTTCTATCACCGCTGCGACCGTCACCACATCGGATCGTCGGGCAGACGCAGCAGACTTCATGGCGGTTAGGTCCGCCACCCTCTGCGACATAATAGCCGCCTGCGACGACCTTTGTTCCTCGTCCGTCGAGGATACCTGGGGCTCTGGCTGCTTCTTTCGTCGACGCCCCATCGCACACCACGAGGAGCGTGAAAAACAGAAGCTTGAGCACCAAACTACGATGCACGACCCTTGCACACCCTTGCAGTCTCCACTGGAAACCACCTTGCACAGAACTCGCGACACTCACTGCACTACCTCGCAGCCTCCGCAGGGAACCGCCTTGCAAATCCTGACAAAACCCTGGTCCTGAAACCTTGCACGCACACTCCCTCACGACACGCACTGCACTACCTTGCAGCCTCCGCAGGGAACCGCCTCGCAAATCCTGAAGAAACCCTAACCCTGAAACCTCGCAAGCACACTCACTCACTAAGGTCCACAGGGAGCACAGCACGCCAACGCAAGCCATGCACCACAAGCTCACAACACTTATCATCATCGACCCAGCGGTCCACGACGGCTGAGCCTCAGAATCTTTCTTGCCACTTCTGCTACCACAGCCAAAGCGGTCAAGCTCACAGCGTTCAAGAGACTCCAGAGCAGCACCCTCACAGACCGAAACGGCACTACCACCGTGCGTCCTCAAGCTCCTCAGCAGAAACTTAAAAGGCGTGTACTCTAGGCTCTTCACAGACTCCAAAGACCTTTGCTCCTGAGCTTTCTGGGCTTTCTGGGCTTTCGTGGCTTTCGGGGGTTTCGCGGTTTCAGGCTTTTCCGTGGCTTTCGGGGGTTTCGTGGTTTCAGGCTTTTCCGTTGCTTTCGGGGACGACGAGGGCTTCAAAGCATCAACCTCCATCTTATCCCCAGAATCCTTCAAAGCAGCAACCGCGTACCAAGCGCGATCCTTGACAGTCAACCGAATGCGTTTCTTGTTCTTCTTGTTGAAAATATGAGGTGTGTTGGTGAGCATGGTGTGCCATCCTCTCTGCCAAGCCACAAACGGTGACAAGACATTGAAATCTAGGTTCGTGATCAAGCAATGCTCTAGCACCACCACAAGCTTCCCAAAACGAACGCGAACGTCACACACCTTCAACACTTCAATCATGTCGTTGGAGGCATTCGACAGCGTGGGCTTAAAATCATAAGTGCGAAGGACTTCATACTTCTCGAAGCAGGAGACCGACATGCAATGAGAAGTAGCACCGCTATCCACTAGCCAGTAGCTATCTTGCGACTCAATGCCAACTAAGCACACTCTGTGCTCAACGGTCACTCGGTGCGCCGCAGCAGGCACCTCAGGTGTCGAAGGAGTCGTCCTCAAGACGCCACCGCGGGCATCAACCGGAATCAACTCGCCAGAAGCGCGAAGGGCCATCACAGTCTCTCCCTCCGGCTCCTCTTCTGCTTCGCCATCCGCTACAGCACGGGCGTGCTGCTTCTTGGTCTTCTTGTCCTTGCCCTTATCCTTGCCATGCTTGCCTTTGCCTTTCTCTTTGCCCTTTCCTTTGTCTTTGTCGCCCTGGCCTTTGCCCTTGGGCTTGTTGCTCTTGTCGCCTTTGCCCTGCTTCTTCTCATCTGCGATCCTCTGGCGGCACTCTTCTTGATAGTGCCCTTTCTTCTCGCAGTACCAGCAGACAATCTGGGACTTGTCCTTGGCACCGCCGGCTTTTCCTCCTTTCGCGCCTTTGCCGTCTTTCCCGCCTTTGTCTCCTTTGAGGCCACGCAAACCACCACTTGGCAGCTCCACCATGCGCAGCTGCTCCTCGTAAAAACGAAGACTCTCCGCCATCTCGGTCCAACTGCCAGTCTTGCCATGCAGCACCAAGTACTCTCTCGCTTGCACTGACACAGCTTGCAGCAAAATGGCCGATCTGTCGGCGGCGTTCAAGCAGAGGTCGGGAAAACGCACCAGCTTTTTATCTCCCTTGGAGATTTCGTCCTCGAGGAAACGCACAACTTCCAGAGGGCGCTTCAGCGCTGCAGTCTTTGTGTGGAGCTTTAGCATTTCGTCTCTGATATACACCGCCTCCATGCGGCTGTTCACAGAGTACTGCCGGTAAAGCTCT